GGACGGTGGTTTGGACGAGGGGACTGGGGCTGGTGCCCCGGAGCAGCAGCAGTAGCAGCCACAGCCTCAGCAGCAGCAGTTGCTTCAGCAGCAGCAGTTGCTTCAGCAGCAGCAGTTGCTGCAGCAGCAGCAATCGCCATGGGGACCCCAGCCACTGTGGTGGACTCGCGGCGCTGGTGGCGGTGGTCGTGGTGGTGGGGGGCGCAGCTCGGTGTCGGGTGGCGACTCCAGTGCGGTCACTTGTCAGTACCAGCTTCAGACCGGCCCCCACCGCGGCACCGTCTGCGACCGTTCCGGCCACACTGTCGCTCGCTGCTACCGCCGCCTAGGCGACCTAATCCGTCACCGTTTCGGTCCCACGTCGGACCCTTCTGACTGGTACGCCCTAGCTAGCCACCGTGTGCCTAACTTTGAGCTTGACATGGATCAGATTAGGACTGCTATGTCGTCATGTTTGCTGATGACTCTAGTGTGATTGGACCCTATCACCCGGCGTTGCCTGGAGTAGGTGTGTCCCCTGTGTGTAGTCTAGGCTCCACTACTGCGTCAGGCATAGGACCCCCTGCCTTGTTTAGCCTAGGTTCCACGCTAGCCCATTCGCCGGCTGGCGCTACTGCCTCGCACTCCTTTACGGTCGACTCTGGCGCGTTCGCCTGCTTCTTTCGCGACCACATTGCGCTCATGCTGCTTGCTGCCCAAGCCGCCATTCTTCAGATCCGCTATGCCAACACGTTCGTCCACAAGTTCCCAAGCAGCACAGGGACCGCAGGGAAGCCCGACGTTCCCGTCCTCGTCATAGCCAGCCGCCATTTGAATGTGATCCACGACAACAAGCTTGACCACCAGCTTTTTACGCGCAGCCTACACTAGCAACTCTTTTCCGTGGGTGACGTGTTTTTGTGGATTCACTGGTGTTTGGACCTTGTCAATGCGCATTACACAAGCACGGAGTGCCCGGTCATCGAGCCCCTGGAATTTTCGGATCCAAAGACGTGGTCTTCGAAGCACCTCTTCTTCGTCATCGGCGACACGTCTCAGGGAGAGCTGCCATACAGGTCGCACACCAACTAGGCCGTCTGGACCATAAATCAGGCGGGTTGGGTTGTCAGCAAGGTAACACAAATCTTCAGGAGATCCGTGGCACAGCTGCTGTGTGTGACTTCCTTCGCCAAGAGGTGCAGATTCCTCATTTCGGCAGATGGGAGCAGAGCAACATGCTCAAGTCGTACCTCATCAGCATGCCACGGCAAGCACTCTTCATCCTTGCAGGCTTCACCAGCGTTGATGGCAACTGTTACATCGGACAGGCGCACGCTGCTCATCTGGATGCGCTGGAATCTTGTTCGCAAAGCACATCTTCTCGTGGCTAGAGAAGGCTTTGGCGACGGTATGCGGATGCAGAAGATGAAGACTCTCGTGGATGCTGACTCAAAGGAATCAGTTAAGAAGATACTTGATGATATCATGTCAAGAACCTCGTTCACAATGGCCGCAGATGGGCTTATCCTATCCGACAATCAGCCGCATGCGCCAACGAAGGAGAAACAGCAGATGAGGATGCAGAGTGCTTTCAAGGTAAGAAGGTGGCTGAAATTCCTGGCAGGGGAGGAGGAGACAGTTCCTATGAACGATCGCCTGCCACAGATGGCGGCGCAGACTGCTGACAGTCTGTCAGTACATCTTGTTTGTGCTGCAGGATTCGGATTTAAAGTGAGAATCTCAAAACTCTAAAAAAGCAAGTCCCAAGTTTTTGACCTCCAACCTCGGTTGACATGGTTACCCAAAGTGTTGGGTGACAATTCAGATCCCCCTCCAAACGCCTCTGATTGGCACAACAACCACACACCCCCCCTCTCTGCGACAAACCCACCTTGAACCCATCGCCCACCCCCCCCCCCCCCCCCCACGATCAAGTTCTACGTCCGCACAGGCAACTAGGCGGACTAGATTTAGGCTAAACGTGTAGAAAAGGCTGTGGTTGAAACGCGAACTCGGCGAGATCTCTGTGTGTTAAACAGTGCGCACGCCCACCCTAATAGCGCAAAGCAACAAAGCCCTTTGTCGTACCCGTCGCCCTTTCTCTCGTCGTTCCGAACGCGCTTCCCCTAGACATCCTGAACGCCCTTCCCCATGTCATCCGGCTCGCCCTTCCCCTCGTCCTCATGCTCCCCTCGTTGTCCCGCCCACCCTTCCCCTCGTCGTCCCGCTCGCCCCTCCCCTCGTCATCCCGCTCGCCCTTCCCCTCGTCGTCCCGCTCGCCCTTCCCCTCGTCGTCCCGCTCTCCCTTCCCCTCGTCGTCCCGCTCGCCCTTCCCCTCGTCGTCCCGCTCGCCCTTCCCCTCCTCGTCCTGCTCGCCCTTCCCCTCGTCGTCCCGCTTGCCCCTGATTGACCCAACAACCACACAACCCCCCTCCCTGCGACAAACCCACCTCGAACCCATCGCCCACATTCCCCCCCCAAGATCAAGTTCAAACTTCGCAGTTTCAGTCTCTATACTAGCTTGCACAGGCAACTAGGCGGACTAGATTTAGGCTAAATGCGTAGAAAAAGCTGTGGCTGAAACGCTAACTCGGCGAGATCTCCATTTGTTAAACAGTGCACGAGCCCAACCTACTAGTGCAAAACAACAACGCCCTTTGTCGTACCCATCGCCCTTTCCCTCGTCGTTCCGCTCGCCCTTCCCCTCGTCATCCCAAACACCCTTCCCCTCGTCATCCGGCTCGCCCTTCCCACTGTCATCCCGCAAGCCCTTCCCCTCGTCATCCGGATCGCCCTTTCCCTCGTCATCCCGCTCGCCCTTCCCCTCGTCATCCAGATCGCCCTTTCCCTCGTCATCCCGCTCGCCCTTCCCCTCGTCATCCTGCTCGCCCTTCCCCTCGTCATCCCGCTTGGTGTGAGATAGAGCTAAGGGGAGAAAGCATGAGAGGCGGAGGGCTCAAAAGTAAATGCTAGGTGGTAGGGGAGGGGGGAGGTCGGAGAAAGGGCAGGGCAGAGACAGGGAGAGAAGTCTCCATGCTCACTATCTCTGCCATTCCGTGGGTGGGGGAAAGGGAAGGAGCGGGCGGGGGAGAGAGATAGGATGGGTGGATGAAAGGGAGAGATCGGTAGGGGGGAAGGGAGGGAGCGGGTTGACGGGAAAGGGAGAGGAGGGTAGGGGGAAACAGAGAGGAGAGGGAAAGGGAGAGGAGGGGAGAGGGAGAGGGAGAGAGTGCTAGGACGGGTGGAAAGAGCGAGGAGGGGGCTGGGAGAGAACGGGGGTGGGGTAAGGGAGTCAATGGCAGGAGGAAATGAAGTGGACGAGGAAAGAATGAGGATGGGGAAAGGGAGAAAGCAGGAGGGGGCAAGGGAGAGAACATGAGGGGATTCTAGAGAGTAGGGGGAAATAGAGGAAACCGTTGGGGGAAAAGGAGAGGAGGCGGAAATGGCGTGAACGGGAGGGGGAAAGAGAGAGCGTGGAAGGGGAAAATGTGAGGCCTGCCCTCCCTTCCCCCTCCCCCCCTCACTCCACTCCCCTACTCCCCTCTCCCCCTCTTCTTCCTATCCTGCAGCACTCTTCCCCCCCCTCTTCCATCACTCAATCGGCCACCATATCTCCTACTCTCCTACCCCCCACTATCTTTCCCCTCCGCTCGCAAGTTCCCCCCACAAGTGGCATACGGCATGGCTGCCCTTTCGCCAACCTCCCACCCATTCTCCCAATCCCTTCTCCATGCCCCTTCCCCCAATCCCGCTCAATCTCTCCCCTCCTTCCTCCACTCCATTCCCTCTGCATGGAGAGAAGGAGAGAGAAGGTTGAAAGGGGAAGAAGCTCGAAAATGAGTTTTAAGAGATGGTCGAAATTGGAATTCGAAAATGAGTTTTAAGAGATGGTCGAAAGGAGAACCGAGGAGAAAATCCACAATGAGAAGCGTGAAAGCTTTTGAGATGAGAAATTCAACGTGTCGGCCCCAGCTCGTCGCGCCGCCCCAGCTCGCCGCATAGGCCTCACCTCGGCGCGTCGGTCCTAGCTCGCCGCGCCGCCCCAGCTCTCCGCGCCGCCCCAGCTCGCCGCGTCGGCCCCGCCCCACCAGGCCGGCCCAGCTTATCGCGTCAGCCCCAACTCGCCGTCGGCCCCAGCTAGCAGCGGTGCCCCAGCTCGCCGCGTCGGCTCCACCTCACCGTGCTGCCCCTGCTCCTCGCGCCGGCCCCTACACGCTGCTGGCCCTGGTTTCTCCTCAGCGCCGGCGCCCTTGCCGGCCATCTGCTCTCCCGATTCTTAACTGCACTCTACCACGCACCACCACCTAGGCCACCACATGTTAGAAACAGAAAGGTTGAGTTTATTGATGAAGAAAAGGCATTACATAGGAAGAGAGAGATGAGCTAGGAATGGAAGATTGGAAGGGAAGGGGGGGGGGGTTAGGACCAATCACAACGGACGGAGGATCCTCCCAAATGTGGTTGACCACAAGTGGGAGGTGGTCCAAGTGTGGTGGACCACAAGTGGCTTGATCAACCCACTTGTGGTGCCCCCACAATTGTGGTCCTTGTGTTTGGGGGCTCCAACAACAATTGGGTTGGATTGACACCCCAACACAGGTGTACACCCAACTAGGAAACACAATATACACAAATCGCATAGCAGGGTATATTCTGACACAACCCCATAGCATGCAATGCTAGTGTATATGAAGGGTACAACCCCAGAATCAGGAAGGGGGACGGGGCCCAAGGCCGAGAAGGCGGAGGAGGGCAGAGTGCGCGGTCTTCGGGAGGGCCTTGGTGAAGATGTCGGCCAAGTTGGCCTCTGCAAGCGATCTTGCGGACCACCAAGTGACCTTGCTGGACCAACTCCCGAACGAAGAAGTAGCGGAGTTCAATGTGCTTGGAGCGGCCATGGAAGACAGGTCCTTCGTGAAATGGATGGTGCTGGCGTTGTCGCACCAGAGGGTGAGACAGCGCTAAGGAGCACCGATCTCAGCAAGGAGGAAGGTGAGCCAGCGAGCCTCCTTAGCGGCCATGGTACAAGCATAGAGCTCAGCCTTGCAGGATGAGAGGGCGATGGAAGAGGAGTGAGTGGAGTGCCAGCTGATGAGGACGCTGCCAAGGGTGAAGCCGTAGCCTTGAGAGGAACAAAATCCCGCTGGGAGTCAGCCCAGGAGGAGTCACTGAAGCCAAAGAGGAGGGGAGGAGAAGAGGCTCCGAGGGTGAGGACGTAGTCCTTGGTACCACGGAGGTAGCGGAGTACCCGCTTCGCTGCAGCCTCGTGCTCGTCAGTGTGGCGACCGGTAGCGACCAAGCGAGCAAGAACGCTTATGGGGTAGGCAAGGTCGAGGCGGGTGCACAACATAGTGTACATCAGCAAACCGACGAGCTCAGCGTAAGGATGATCAGAGGAGGAGGGAGCAGGAGGAGGGGCAAGCTGGTGGTCGGTCTGCAGGGGAGTGGTAACTTCCTTGGCCTGCGACATGTCGAACCGTTGCAAGACCTGGCATCTGCTAGCTAGGAATGAAGAAATCGTAACAAACCGAATCTGGCAGAATTCTGGCAGAATGTTCAGCTTTACAAGAAACGACGCCACGAACACACGCCTTTGCATAAAGACCTGAAAATAGGCTCGTTGGAAAGCTCGCAACCTGAGCTACTCGAAACAGGTCCTACTCGTAGACATTGGTTGATAAATGACCATGATTCGTCGTCGCAAAGATAGGTACTGGCTCTGATACCACTTGTTGATAGGATCGGCCTACTTTGCACGAATTAAGCAGAGCCTCAACTCAACCAAACGCCAATCTGCTTGGTGGAAGGACGCGCCTAGAAGTCTAGAGTCATCTGAAATTTAAATCAGGTGAAAAGATTAACTCTAGAGTGAGAACTGAATCAAAACGTAACTGCTGGTCGTTGCCTTGGAAAGTAGATTGAACTTGCAAGACACACAACCATTTAGACATGGTTCGGGGTTCAGACCTCTAAGAGAGCCCTGGAAGGGAAACAAGGTTTCCTGATGTCTAGGAATGGTTTAGAACCTTCCTAGAAGCACACCATAGGCCCCTCTCCCAGTTGCCCATGTGAGGACACATGCCAAATCCAAAGAGATTGGATTTGGCAAGATGTTGCAACATTTGCAACACTTGCATATTTTGGCTTGTAGCAACCAAGCCACCCCAACCAAAAGTCAAAGTTTTCTCCCCAACCATCTAACCACAAGATCCCCATTATAAGACCCATGAGATACCCGAGGTATAGCATTTGTCATTAGAACTTCCAATCTTGGAATTCTTGTAACTTCGGCATCATCGGTCGGATTGGGGCGATCTTGGGGTCGTTGGAATGCTCACGCTTTCTCCTGCATTTTCCATGCATTCAATCTTGGGAGAAAATCAGGATGATGAGAATATCGAAGATGGCGAGCAATGTGATATATGCTCATGCACGAATGAGATGATCATACGGCAGGACATTAGGATGATATGCACTCATGCTGATGTGCAATTAACACGGTAGCGATGCCAAGGATGAGGATGTTAGAAATAGACTGCAAATACCACTTTTGTATTTGTACTTTTACAGTGACGGTAACAATTGTCCGGATGTTTAGCATTAACGAGAGTTTTTGGGCATTCCGACCACTGTACATAAAGTCTTAATGTTTAATGGTGGTACGCTTTGGGAGTGGCACATAGTGGATGGGTTCATAGTGCTATAATCCGTAATAGTACGTTGGGTCTAACTTAGTGTCAAAAGAAATCCAAAGTGTCCATCTGGACAATTGCTTCCCAGGACAAAGCGCAAACTTCCGAACAACGTTTCTAGTACCTATTCCACCGACCCTTGGCCTTGATCACCACACGCACCCTCCTACGCATGTTATCTACGAGGTTAGTGCAAACCTTTGCAGGGATCTTCTCACACCCTTCTTGGACCCACCCTTTTGCATAAAAGGGGTGAGCACTAGGAAAATCACGAAGGATTTGAGCGCATGCTAGAGTATTGCGCACGATTTCTGATTGAATGTGATCTCTTAGACTAGCCACGCTGAGGTGTGTCTTTTCATGAAAAGACGGGACCATTAGCTGTTTGGTTCCGTCTTTTCATGGGTCGTCTTCGTCGTATCATTGTAGGGTAAAATTACGAACAGAGTGGCGAAAACTAGCGCATCCGCCGCGAAACTTAGGGTAAATTTGCACGGTTGACTGTGCACCCTTTCACTATTAGAATCATGTTAAAATCCACGGGTCTCTTCACGGTGCAGCAGTCGAAGAAGCCCCGGCAGGTGGGGAAAAAAATCGGGTTGAGGTCTAGTGAGGAGGAGGGTCACTCCAGTGCTACATACTCATGCTCTCCAAGCCATTCCAAGCCTAGGCGGGTCAAATGGCTTGGAATGGCTTGGAGATCATGAGTATGTTGCGCTGGAGTGACCCTTTTCCTCACCATACCTCACCTCAAGCATTCATCTCGAACAGTCGTGACTTCTTTGACTGCTGCACCATGACGATACCTGCAGATCCTAGCGTGATTCTAGTAATGCAAGGGTGTACAGTCGACCGTGCTACGTTACCCTGAGTTTCATGGCGTATACGCTAGTTTTCCCCACTCTGTTCATGGTTTTACCCTACAGCGGTACGACGGAGACGAACCATGAAAAGACGCGACCAATCGGCTAATGGCATCTTTGGTCACACTTCAGCGTGGCAAGACTAAGCGATCACATTCAATCACAAAGCATGCACATTTCTTTTGCATACGCTAAAATCCTTCACGATTTTCCTAGTGCTCACCCCCTTATGCAAAAGTGTGGGACCAGGAAGAGTGCGAGAAGCTCCCTGCAAAGGTTTGCACTAACCTCGTAGATAACATGCCTAGGAGGCTGCGGGTGGTGATCAAGGCTAAGCGTCGGTGGACTAGGTACTAGGAACGCTGTTCGGAAGTTTGCTCTTTGTCCTGGGAAACAATTGTCAAGATGTACTCTTTGGATATCTTATGGCAATAAGTTAGATCCAGCGTACTATTATGGATTATAGCACTATGAAAATATCCTCTATGTGCCCCTCCCAAAGCGTGCCACCATTCAACATTAAGACTTTATGTACAGTGGTTGGAATGCCAAAAAACCCTCGTTAATGCAAAACATACGGACAATTGTTTCCGTCACTGTATATCCTAGTTTAGGTTATGAACGTTCTAGTGGGTTGGGGTGTACTCACAAATCTGTCTACTAGGAGCAGACTACAGTTTCACAACACACGCCAAGGGCTCCTCCACAGTTCCGTGCCCAGCTTTCCCTTCGGGCAGTGTGACTGGAATGTGTGTTCCCACACTACGCCACAATCTCGTGGCCCAACACGAGCTCCAACGGGCAGGCGTCACCATGATCTTCCCAGCACACTCGGATCACTGTGACCTCCTCGACCCTAGGTCCAACAAGCTCCTAGCACGCTTCACACTCAATAGCAGCAAGCTCTACACGCTGCATTCACCTGCACCTCTCGCCGCCCTCTCCCAAGCGCAAGCTGCCAACACCACTCTGTGTTCTTGTCACAGCTTCGCCAACCCAACCATCCTCTACCACTATCGCATGGGTCACCCCAACTTCCGTACGCTTGCCGACATCGCTTCCAAGAAACTTCTTCTTGGCCTCCAGTCGGCGCTTCCTCCACCAACAGACTCACCTGCACCCACCTGCCTGGACTGCACCAAGAGCAAGCTCAGGCAGCAGCCGCACCCTTCCTCCCCATCCGTCACAGCTGCTCTACTGGACCTAGTGCACATGGATGTCTGGGGTCCAGCTCCAGTCGCATCCCGAGGCGGTCATCGGTACTTTCTTACACTAGTGGATGACCACTCGCGGAATGTTTCTGTGCACCTCCTGCATACCAAGGCGGAGGCACCTGATGTCATCATGGCGTGGGTGCGCCAGGCTGAAGTCACGTTCGGCACTCCTTTGAAGTGCCTCCATTCTGATGGCGGTGGAGAATTTCGCAATGGCAAACTTGATAACTTCTGTGCGGCCCAAGGGATTCGGCAAACCTTCACGCTCCCCGAAAGCCCGCAGCAGAACGGCATTGCAGAGAGCCACAACCACACCTTGGTTCAGATTGCTCGCTGCCTCCTCAGTCACGCCAACACACCACGGTCATTCTGGGGATATGCCCTCTTCCATGCGGCACTCCACTACAATCTTTATCCGCATCCCCACCGGACCGACACCACACCAACCACTCTCTGGCTTGGGGCCACGCCCTCCGCTCGCTCTCTTCGCGTCAGGGGGTGTACCGCGTATGTGTTGCTTAGCCCCCATACGCAAAGGAAGCAAGGTGGCAAGCTTGGTCCCAAAACCCAGACCTGCATGTACCTAGAGCACAACTCTGACTCCCCAGACTACTTATTCCTCAAACCCATCACCAGACAGCTGATTCGCAGCCATGATGTCATCTTCGATGAGACACGCCCCTTCCACTCTGCGACCATGGGCGAGCCTCCTCCACCTCCCCCGGCGCTTGTTTGTGCAGACTTTGATGCCCCACCTCCGGCTGCTGCCCCTTCTCCGGGGCCTTCTCCGTCCGGCGTGTCTCACCCGCCCTCCCAGGTATCCTCAACAGCGGCATCTCCTCCTGCTCCGCCTTCCCCGCGCATCGAGCCTGGCTCACCAGTCTCCTACCGGCGGCACCCAGTCCCTCCGGTCCCACCGCAGCCACCTTTGTCTCCGGTCTCTAGTCGCACTCGTTCCAAGGGACCGGCTCCGCCTCTCGCTTGGGGACCAGCTGCCTTCTCCATCCGATGTTCGGTCACCCCGCCTCCTCCTGCCGGGGGTGATGTCCCCTCTATCCGTATTCCCACCCGTGCACTTCTGGAGGACAGGCATGAGGAGCTGTTTGACCTTCACGCGGTCTGCCAATTTCTCTCTCACATCTTCCCGGACATTACTGACCGCCCTTCCCTCAACTTCACCGAGAACCCGACCATTCCGACTCCTCGCACAAAAGAGGAAGCTCTCTCGGGGCCTTATAAGAAGGAGTGGAAGGCAGCAATGGATGTGGAGAACGAGTCGTTCATCCGCAACAACAGCAATGGATGTGGAGAACGGCCCCTCCATTTCCTTCTCCTGACGCCTGCAAGGACCCGTACCCTGAGCTAGTCGGTTCACTCATGTATGCCATGATGTGCATTTGACCAGACTTGGCTTACCTGGTTAGTGTCCACTCTTGGTACGTCTCCCCCGGACGCTACACTACCTCGCATTGGTCTGCAGCCAAGAGGGTCCTCCGCTATCTACAAGCCACCAAGTCTCACATCCTCACTCTTGGTGGTACCTCTCCAATCAAGCTCGAGGGATACACATACTCCTCATGGGCCGATGACCAGACTGACAGACGCTCCTCCCAAGGGTACTGCTTCACCCTTGGTAGCGGAGTCATCAGCTGGCGCTCCACTCGGTCCTCTGCAGTCTCCCTGTCATCCTGCGAGGCCGAGCTCTACGCAGGCACAATGGCTGCTCAAGAGGCACGCTGGCTCTCCTTTCTCCTCGCTGAGTTAGGCTACCCCCAGCAGTCGCCCACTTTGTGGTGTGACAATGAGAGTGTCATTCACCTCACCAAGGATCCTGTGTTCCACTCTCGTACCAAGCATATCGAACTTCGTCATTTCTTCATCCGAGATCTTGTTCAGAGTGACCAGCTGACGGTACGGTACAACGCCTCAGATTGCAACCTCGCCGACCTCTTTACCAAGGCTCTCAGCAAGGCTGACCACCATCGCCTTCTTCGTTCCATGGGGCTATGTGCTCGTTGACCGGGTTTGCAGTCTATGTAGAAATAGATTGCAAATCCCACTTTTGTATTTGTACTTTTATATCCTAGTTTAGGTTAGGAATGTTCTAGTGGGTTGGGGTGTACTCACAAATTCCAACCTCACCCAATTGTGATCCCCCAATCTCCAATTACCCAATTGGAGATTCCGGAGATCCCAATGGGGATTCCCTCCAATTCGCCCTTCATCCATTCTCTCTCACCTTTGTTAGAAATAGATTGCAAATCCCACTTTTGTACTTGTACTTTTATAGCCTAGTTTAGGTTAGGAATGTTCTTGTGGGTTGGAGTGTACTCACAAATCCCAACCTCACTCAATTGTGATCCCCCCAATCTCCAATGACCCAATTGGAGATAATGGAAATGGGGATTCCCCCTGATTCCCCCTTTATCCATTCTCTCTTACCTTGCCATGTACTTATATAACGTTGGGCTCGTTACCTAATTAATGATTTCAACTCTATTTCTCATATGGTATCAGAGCGACCTATCCGCACACGCGGATCAAGGTCCTAACGTGCCCGCGCTACGCACACTTCATCGTCGCGACATTCGTCTGGAGTCGTCGGAATTTTCGACGTGCTCCACTCTGCAGCCGCGCCTCTTATCGTCGAACGCCTTCGCGCTCGACCTCGTTGAATTTCTCAACTCGAAAGCTTTCACGCTTCCCATCATTGATTTCCTCTTCGGTTTTCCTTGGTCGAATCTCAATTTCGACCATCTCTTAAAACTCATTTTCGACTTTCCCCTCGGACCCCGCCAGAATAGTCAAACTGCCCTCGCGAAATCGCCTCCACAAATGTCTCGCGTCAAGCAAGAGCAGGTACACAGGTGGAAGCGGAGCGGAGTGGGTTGCGGAGCTGGTTGCAAAGCTATGTAGCTGCGGGACAGGGCCTGGGGGTGTGTGGGCGGGTGTGTGGGTTCGGGGTTAGACATAGGCTCAGATTCAGTTTCAAGTCGGCGTTTTAACGAATTTCCGCTGATGCCATTTCCTTCTCAGCGGCATTTCGACGAAGCCGCCGGAGTGATTTTCAGCAATTCTCGTCGACCGATTTCCAGAATTGCTGAGCTGCGTAGCGAAGTTCCTATCGGAGACTTAAGAGCGTTGCTTCGCGAAAATCAAGTGGCGATGGCTTACTCAACTACTTCATTCGCCAACCCGATCCCGCTCCTTCGTCTCGAGCCGGACGGTACATGCTCCAACTACAAGGCTTGGCGCTATGGTGTCGACAAGCACCTCCTCAGTCGCGAGGTGAAGGGGCTCGAGCTCATCGACGTCCTTCTCAACATCAGTGACGGCAAAGAGCCTCCTAAACCCGAGAGGTCCGTCGATCCAGCTAATGCCGCTGCCGAAGCAGTTTATGCTGCTGCACTGCTCAAGTACAAGAATTGGGAGAAGGCCGATGGTGCGGTTATTAGTGTCTTCATGGGCACCACTCCTCGCGAACTCGTCGAAACCTACCACAACTACCCGTCTGCCAACGCCATTTGGCTCTACCTCGAAGACCGCTTCCTGAAGAAGACTGTAGTGGGAGTTGCTATACTCATCCCCAGCATGTTCCAAGTGCGGCTCGAGGAGTCGCCAGGCATGGCGGACTATGTCACCAAGGTGCAGTCCATTCATGGTGAACTCAAGCAGTTGGGGATAGTCTTCCCCGAGCAAGCCCTTGCAGCCGCTCTCCTAGTCGGCCTCACTCCGGCATACGAAGTCACACGCAAGATGCTCTTGGGCCTTGCTCCTGCAGACCTCACATTTGCCAAGGTCTCATCCGCGCTCCTTTCTGCCGTAAAGGACAACAGCGCTCAAGCCAAGGCCAATGCAATCCATGCTCCTGTGCCTCAGGCCTATGCTGCTTCGGCACCATTCCAGCGCAACCGCTTCCCCCCGTGTCCCTACGTCATGAAGCACCGCCCTCGTGCCAGCCAGGTGTGTGGCGGCACCAACCACGCTCTCGCCTCCTGCTTCAAGAAGAAGGATCACGAGTGGTATGCCGTCAATGGGACCGCCTCGAAGCCACGAAGCTGGATGGTCAATCGTGCTCCTCGCAAGGTCAATCAAGTCAAAGCGCAGGAATCCGTGCAGGCTGCTGTAGCTCCCCCTGCTGATGTGCGCCTGAACATGTTGTTCCCTGGCCCTGCCATGATTAATGAGACAATTTCGCAGTGTCCCGGCTCACAAAGCACCTCAGCCACAATAGAGTTCACCCTTGATAGTGGAGCCACTCACACAGTTCTCAAGGAAGAACACTCCTTCAAGCCATACAAGACACCAATCCGTATACTCGGAGCAGACTCCAGCTTCACAACACACGCCAAGGGCTCCTCCATTGTTCCGTGCCCAGCTTTCCCTTCGGGCAGTGTCACCGGCATGTGTGTTCCCAGACTACGCCACAATCTCGTGGCCCAAAAGGAGCTCCAATGGGCAGACGTCACCAGGATCTTTCCAGCACACTCGGATCACTGTGACTCCTCGATCCTAAGTCCAACAAGCTCCTAGCATGCTTCACACTCAACAGCAGCAAGTTCTATTTGTGCCTTCACCTGCACCTCTCGTCGCCCTCTCCCAAGCGCAAGCTGCCAACACCACTCCGTGTTCTTGTCGCAGCTTCGCCAACCCAACCATCCTCTACCACCATCGCTTGGGTCACCTTAACTTCCGTACGCTTGCCGACATCGCTTCCAAGAAACTTCTTCTTGGCCTTGCGTTGGCGCTTTCTCCACCAACAGACTCACGTGCACCCACCTGCCTAGACTGCACTAAGAGCAAGCTCAGGCAGCAGCCGCACCCTTCCTCCCCATTTGTCGCAGCTGCTCTGCTGGACCTAGTGCACATGGATGTTTGGTGTCACAGGATTGAATGTGTCGAGGAAAGGTTGCACTATCGATTGATACAAGGCGCTTTTATACTTCCGAAGTACATGAGGTAACCAGGTTTATCTTATCCCAAGGGAATAGACACTTCTAGAAAATAGAATCACCCTGCGTCTAACGACGCAAGGCTATTGGCTTTAAGGGATTACGGCAGGATTACGCTAGATATAGCGTACCAGTACATCTCGAGCCTGGTCGGTGATATAATGATAATAACAGGATAAACCAAAGGTTTATGGAAAAGGAGAAATAGGAATCCAAAAGGGTTGAGATCAAAACCAAATGGATCAAGATAAAAAGAGGAATGGAATGGAAAGGGAATATGGAAAGGAGAAGAGAATGGAACGGGTTCGTACTCTCACACTTCCCCCCCCTCAAAGCTGGGTGGTGGATGTGACACCCTGCTTGACAAGGTAGTCGCGAAGAGGACGACGAGCGTGGTCCATCTCGGATTCAGAGGCTCAGCTATCCTCTGAAGGATCATAACCCTTCCAATGGATGAGAAGGTCCACTGTGCCATTCCCTCGACGGCGGTGAGCAAGCACGGACTCGACCTCGTACTCGGGTTCATCATGGACGAGGACGGGCGGCGGCGGCGGCGGCGGTTGGCGACCAGAGAAGATCGCGTTGAGATCTCAGTAGGGCTTCAAGAGTTGGACATGGAAGGCGTTGTGAATCTTCCAAGTTTCTGGCAGGCGTAAGCGGAAGGTAACAGGAGTGACCTGTGCTTCAACGAGAAAAGGCCCGTAGTAGCGAGGTCGCAGTTTGGATGGGAGATGGCTGATGTCAAGATTGCGTGTGTTGAGTAGGACTCGGTCACCTACGGTGATGGTGTGGTCGGTGCGGTGGCGATCGGCCTGGCGCTTCTGTTGTTGCTGAATGTCGAGAAGGCGCTTGTGGGTCCGATCCCAAAGTTTGTGCATAGTCGTGATGAAATCATGAGCGGGTTGGACTGTGGCTGGTATGTTTGGCTGTTGAGGTGTGAGTGGGTGGCGTCCGTAACAGAGGAAAACGACGTCTGTCCAGTAGCGGCGTGAGTAGCATTGTTGTAGGCAAACTCTAGGACGGGTAGATGCAAGTCCCATTTGGAGATGTCGTCCTTGCAGGCTGCACGGAGGAGTTGTTCCACAATTTGGTTGAGGCGCTCGGTCTGTCCATCTGTCTGCGGATGGTAGGCGGATGACATGGCGAGTTTGGTTCCGAGTAGAGACATCAGTTCTTTCCAGAATTTGCTGGTGAACTTAGGGTCTCGGTCGGAGATGATTGTGGTTGGAATGCCATGTTGTGAGATGATGTAGCGAACAAAGAGTTGTGCCGTCTCCTCGGTGCGTGTTGTCGTGTGTGTCGGGATGAAATGTCCCATTTTGGAGAACTTGTCAATGACGACGAGGATTGTGTCATGACCGCTTGTGGTAGTTGGTAGCCCGGTGATGAATTCTAGGCTGACCACTTGCCATGCCTGTTCTGGGACAGGAAGAGGCCGTAGTAGACCCGCTTTTTTCTGTTTGCTGCTCTTCATCCGCTGACATGTAGTGCACGAGGTGACGAATTTCTATACGTCATCTATTATGTGGGGCCAAAAGTAGTGTTTGGCGATACCTGTGAGCGTCTTGTTGCTACCGAAGTGTCCCCCATATAGGACGTCGTGGTATTCTTTGAGTAGTAACCGGCGCAATGGACGGTAATTTGGTACCCAGATCTTCGTTGATCCTTTCCGGCATGCAATGTCGTTGTCCCACTGTAGCAGATGTCGCTTTTCTTCCAAGGGAATTTCGGGGTCGATGGTGTACCCGTGTGTGAAGAGTCCCTTGAGGAGTGGATTCATCCCTTCAACTTGGATAGTGGCAACGTGTGCAGGCCGGCTAAGTGCACCGGCTTTGTTTTTATGGCCAGGCTTGTACACGATGTCGTAGTGGAAGTGCGTCTCGAGGAAGTCGATCCATCGAACCTGTCGTCTAGAGAGGCTTGGTTGTGTCTTCAAATATTTTAGGCTGCAATGGTCGGTGTAGACTGTCGTTTTGCGTCCTTCGAGATAGCATCTCCAAGTTTTGAAGGCGATGATGATAGCAAGGGCCTCCTTCTCGTGTATCGGGTAGTTGAGTTTTGCTCCGTGTAGTTTCTTGCTGAGGTAGGCGATTGGTTGAAGTCCATTCCCCTGGTCTTGCATCAAGACGCTCCCACTGCCTTGTCGCTGGCGTCAGCTTCGATGACGTAGTCGCATTCGGGGTCTGGCAAGATGAGTACTGGTGCGGACGTGAGTGCTTGCTTCAGCTGCTCCACGGCTTCCTGGTGCTTCGGCTCCCATTTTTAGGGCGTGTTGTTTTTCAGCAGATTCGTGATTGGCGCGGTGATCTTCGCGTATTGCGGCACGAATCAGTTGTAGTAGTTAGCAAAGCCAAGGACCTGCTGTAACTCCTTTACGTTCTCGGGTTTCTTCCATGTACGTACGGCTTTGATTTTCTTGGGGTCAACGTGAAATCCTTGAGCGCTTACGATATGTCCGAGGAATTGGACGCGTCGTAGGTGTTCGACGTGCTGCTTCATGTCGCGCGAGTAGATGAGAATGTCGTCCAGGTACACCACCACGCATTCGTCCAAGAGTGGGCGTAGGATATGATTCATCTCTGCCTGGAATGTTGCAGGTGCGTTGGTGAGTCCGAACGGCATCACCAGATACTCGTACGATCCGTACCGAGTTTGGAAGGCCGTTTTGTGAACGGAATTGTCCGCCATCCTTATCTGCTAGTATCCGAACCGCAGATCAAAATTTGAAAATACCGTGGCTCCCCGAAGCTGGTCGAGCAGATCATCGATTCATGGAATCGGGTACTTGTTCTTGATGGTCTGCTTGTTGAGAGCTCGGTAGTCGATGCACATGCGCAGGCTTCCGTCCGGTTTCGGTGTGAGAAGTACTGGGGCACCGTATGGTGAAGTGGATGGTCGGATGAGTCCTTTGGCAAGGAGATACTCGATTTGCTTCTTCATGTCGGCTAGCTCGGTTGGGCTGAGCCGATATGGTGCTTGGAAGGTCGGCTTCGAACCTGGTTCCTCCACGATCTCGTGTTGGTGCGTTCGGTATGGCGGTAGCTCGTCCGGGAGGTCGTCAGGGAGAATGTCTTGGAACAGCTTCAGTAATTCCTTAATTTTTCTTGGAGGTTCCGAGGTCGTCTTTCCGTCGGTTTCCACCTCTGTTGCTATCGCCAGGAATTCGGTGTTGGTTCGCTTGACGTCCTTCTCGAATCTGGCGAGTGTCTCCACTGGGATATCTCCTGTATCGTCCCAGTTGGGTAGCTGGACTCTCTGTAGATGCTTGCGGTGCGGTTTACCCAATTGATCTCGGGGTTGAATCGTTTTAGGAAGTCTCGCCTGAAGATTAGATCAAGCTCTTTTATGTTGGTGATGGGGAGTGTAGGTTTCCAACGCAGTGGCCCGATTTGTAGGTGTAGCACTGCTTTGCCGTATACTGGTAACTTGCTGCCATCCACCATCGTTGCAGAAAACGCTGATGGCTTGTACTCTTCTCGAAGTCGGTCGATGGTTGCCTTGTCGCATACGGTGTGCGATGCTCCGCTGTCCACGACTGCTTGGAGGCGTCGTCCTTTGCAGATGACCTCGAGCACGAGGGGCAGGCGTTGCTCGGAGTACCCAAAAATAGTTTCATTGATTGGGTCATAGGGTACATCCCAATATTCGTTGCTTCCTACTCCTGAGCTGGCAGCTGGCCAAGGTTGCTTGGAGAAAGGCTCTTCTCCAGGGCCCAGAGTCTCCGTGACGCATGTTCATGTCGTTGACGAAGTTGCCGAGTTGGATGCATCCGAAGAAGGAGTTCGGTGCTTTTGCAGCTTCTTGTAGATCCCTAGCTTCCTCTTGAGCTGCTTCAGCTCCACCGACGTCTTCCCTGGGGAACGGGTTGTCGCTGTGGGCTGGTGTCGGGAGAGGACGTTGACTCAGTGGAAAGGCCGGCTTCTTTCCACACTCCTTAATTTGGTCCCCAAGTTCTCCGGTACCGGTATGATCTCCACAAATTTCTGCTTCTTCTGGAGTCCCTCCCAAATTTTCTCCAAGGCTCTAGCCCCTCGAGAATTACAAGTTTTCATTAAAGCATCTTTATAAGATAACTTTAACGAATCCTTATGATTTCTTGGGTCTTCAAGGATTTTCCCCGTCTTGGCAGAGTCCTTTTCCGCGTAGTTAGATTTTTCCTCGGCGAATTCCTCTGGCAAAGACTGGTCGTGGGGTGGAGATTTTTCCCCATCATTTTCTTCTGTTCGCGTCGAATCAGCTGCGTCGAAGTTGATTTTTCCGGAAGTCCGCTGCCGCTTTCGGATCCTTTCTTTTTCGCCAACTAGATCCGCAATTACTGGCGAATCCCGTTTTTTGGCTTCTGATTGGCCGAAGGATTTCCGCCACTGTTGTGTGCCCGATACTCAGTGCGTGCGGCTTTCATTTTGTTGCAGTCGAAGATTCGATGACCCGGCACCCCGCAAAAATCACACGTGAAGTTGGTTTTTTTTGGACGTGGCCGCCCTTCGAACCTGTCGACTTCCATCGGGTCGGCGAACGTGGTGTGAGCCGAGCGGTCGCCCTGTCATGTACTTCCGACGTGCGCCCGTCGTGTTCCGGCGTTGACCATGTCGAAGCGTTCCGCGGCCGAAACGACGTCACTGTAGCTCGCGTAGTTTGTCGCTGCCACTTGTCGTTTGACTTCGGTCTTCAGCCCGGTGAGGTACGACTGTACTTTTTCTCCTTCGGTCAGGTCGGGAATTCGGTTATAAAAATCCTGCTGCGTGTACTGCGCTACACTCCCGAACTTTAAATGGCGATGGATTTTAACCTCGGCAAGGAAACCCGAATTTTTCGGCTCGAAACGTTTCAGCAGGTCGGTGCGGAACTGCTGCCACGTGGCTTCGCTGTGGATGAACGTGCTGTTACCGCCGATCCACTCGAGTGCCGGTCCTCGCATCAGCGTCGCTGCGAATCGTACGTGTTGATCGTCCCAGACTGACGAGCTCCATCCGACGGCTGCGAAGTAGATCTCCATGCCGGCGATCCATCTGTGGACGTCGGAGTTTCGATCGCTCGGATCGAACGGCTCAGGTGGGCGCGGTTTCGGAGCCTCAAGAAACTGCTGCGACTGCTGCGTCGTCGCCGTTGTCGTTTCGTGTTGCCCTCCGGCGAGTCGAGTTACTCGCTCGAACTCGTTCGCCACGCTTCGAGATCCACTCGCATCTCCTCCTGAAGGGCTGCAATGCTCGCGAATAGCTGCTGGGTAACCTCGGCGTTGTCGAAGGTCGCCATTCTGTTCAAAACACGTGCGGGGGGGGTAATGCGAAAAATCGTGGAGCTGGTGCTTACCAGCATCGGCGTTGAATTGGTCGCCCCCGGCGGTTTTTCGAGGCAGGTTTCCCCGCTGCTGCTGCTTTGTTGAGCGCGGACGAGTGAGAAAAGCTCTGATTACCAAGTGTTAGAGGATCGAATGTGTCGAGGAAAGGTTGCACTGTCGATTGATACAAGGCGCTTTTATACTTCGAAAGTACATCAGGTAACCAGGTTTATCTTATCCCAAGGGAATAGACCCTTCTAGAAAATAGAATCACCCTGCGTACTCTCACATCTGGGGCCTAGTTCCAGTCGCATCCCGAGGCGGTCATCGGTACTTTCTTACTCTAGTCGATGACCACTCGCGGTATGTTTCTGTGCACCTCCTGCATACCAAGGCGGAGGCACCTGACCTCATCATGGCATGGGTGCGCCAAGCTCAAGTCACGTTCGGCACTCCTCTGAAGTGCCTCCATTCTGATGGGGGGGGGAGAATTTCGCAATGGCAAACTCGATAACTCCTGCGCGGCCCAAGGGATTCGGCAAACCTTCACGCTCCCCGAAAGCCCGCAGCAGAACGGCATTGCAGAGAGTCGCAACCACCCCTTGGTTCAGATCGCTCGCTGCCTCCTTAGTCACGTCAAAGCACCACGTTCACTCTGGGGATATGTGTTAGAAACAGAAAGGTTGGATTTGTCGATGAAGCAAAGGCATTACATAGGAAGAGAGAGATGAGCTAGGAAGGAAAGGTTGGAAGGGAAGGGGGGGATAGGACCAATCACAAGGGAGGGAGGGTCCTTCCAAACGTGGTTGACCACAAGTGGGAGGTGGTCCAAGTATGGTGGACCACAAGTGGCTTAAGCAACCCACTTGTGGTGCCCCCACAATTGTTGTCCTTGTGTTTGGGGGCTCCAACCACAATTGGGTTGGATTGATACCCCAACACAGATGTGCACCCAACTAGGGATGTAAACACAATATTCACAACTAGCATAGCATGGTATCTTCTAACACAAACCCATAGCATGCAAAGCTAGTGTATATGTCGGGTACAACTCTTGAATCAGGAAGGGGGGCGGGGCCCAAGGCCGAGAAGGCGGAGGAGGGCGGAGTGCGCAGTCTTTGGGAGGGTGAAGATGTCGGCCAAGGTGGCCTCTGCAGTGATCTTGCGGACCACCAAGTGACCTTGCTGGACCAACTCCCGAACGAAGAAGTAGCGGAGTTCAATGTGCTTGGAGTGGCCATGGAAGACAGGGTCCTTCGTGAAATGGATGGTGCTGGCGTTGTCGCACCAGAGGGTGAGACAGCGCTAAGGAGCACCGATCTCAGCAAGGAGGAAGGTGAGCCAGCGAGCCTCCTTAGCGGCCATGGAACAAGCATAGAGCTCAGCCTCGCAGGATGAGAGGGCGATGGAAGAGGAGTGAGTGGAGTGCCAGCTGATGAGGACGCTGCCAAGGGTGAAGCCGTAGCCTTGAGAGGAACAAAATCCCGCTGGGAGTCAGCCCAGGAGGAGTCACTGAAGCCAGAGAGGAGGGGAGGAGAAGAGGCTCCGAGGGTGAGGACGTAGTCCCTGGTACCACGGAGGTAGCGGAGTACCCGCTTCGCTGCAGCCTCGTGCTCGTCAGTGTGGCGACCGGTAGCGACCAAGCGAGCAAGAACGCTTATGGGGTAGGCAAGGTCGGGGCGGGTGCACATCATAGTGTACATCAGCAAACCGACGAGCTCAGCGTAAGGATGATCAGAGGAGGAGGGAGCAGGAGGAGGGGCAAGCTGGTGGTCGGTCTGCAGGGGAGTGGTAACTTCCTTGGCCTGCGACATGTCGAACCGTTGCAAGACCTGGTCAATGTAAAAGGATTGTGAGAGGGTAATGATGTGCGCAGCACGGTCCCGGCTGATGGTCATGCCCAAATAGTGCTTGAGCTCACCCATGTCCTTGCACTTGAGGCGTGACTTGCTGCATGGCAGTAGCATCGTCAGCAAATAGGATCATGTCGTCCACATAAACGCGGATGAAGAAGTGGGTGGGAGAGGAGCGAAGGAAAAGGCTGGCATCAGACTGAGTGGCATGGAACCCTAGGGACTGCAGAGTGGCAGCCAGCTTGTTGTGCCACTCGCGAGGAGCCTGCTTGAGGCCATAAATCGGATGGTGTAGCTCCAAGACTGTGTTGGGAGGGAAGGCTGCATGGAAGCCTGGAGGCCGCCGCAAGAGGACCCGCTCCTGGAGCTCGCCTTGCAGGAAGGCGTTGGAGACATCCATGGAGGCAATCTCCATGCTAATGCGAACAGCATAGTCGAGGATGGCACGGAGAGTTGGGAGCTTGGCAGTGGGAGAGAATGTCTCCCAGCAGTCCATGCCATGGGTCTGGGTGAAGCCCTTGGCACAATACCGGGCCTTGTAGACCGGCTCCTCACCCAGCAGCTGCTTCACTCGGAACACCCACAGGCCTTCAACAATGACGTCATATGGAGAGGGGACAATGTCAAAGAATGAGGCATTGCGGATGAAGGCCTTGCATTCAGCAAAGATAGCCTGGATCCACTAGGCAGCAGCCGATGAGGTTGCTGCAGCTGCTGCTGCTCCTTCTCCAGCTGCTGCTGCTGCTGCACCTCCTGCTGCGGCTGCTGTTGCTGCACTGCCTACGGTTGCTGCTGCTGCTGCTGCTCCATCCGCTGCTGCTGCTGTACCTGCTGCTGCTGCTGCTGCTGCTGCTGCTGCTGCTGCTGCTGCTGCTGCACCTGCTGCTGCTGCTGCTGCTGCTGCTGCTGCTGCTGCTGCTGCTGGTGCGATGAGGCAGAGTGAGCAGAGGAGTTTGGTACAGCAGGGTCGTAAATTTCACCTGAGGAAGGAGGACGGGGAGGAGCAGGATTTGGAGAAAGGAGGGGAGCCTGGGGAAGGAGTGGGGGAATGACAGCATCAGCCCAGGTGAGGGGGCGGGAGAGAGGAGGAAGTGGGTCGGAAGGCGGAACAGAATGATAGAACGGGATGCTCTCATCGAACACCACGTCACGGCTCTGTAGGAGGCAGCCTGAGGACGGGTGAAGGAAGAGGTAACCAGGGGCAAAGCGAGCGTGGCCAAGGTAGACACACTCAATGGCCTTGGAGGCGAGGTTTCCCGCCTGCCTAGAGCGGTCAGGTGGGGGGATGAGGACATATGCCTTGCAACCCCAGATACGGAGAATGGCATCATCTGGCTTGGTGCTAGCCCAGAGCTCTGTGGGAGTGACGGACTGGCGTTGAGGATGTGGGTAAAGATTAGTGAGGAGAGCAGCATGGACAAGGGCATAGCCCGAAAGAGAAAGGGGCGTGGAGGCATGAGTGAGGAGGCAGCGGGCCGTCTTGGTGATCTCACGAATGCGACTCTCAGCAACATCGTTCTGCTGAGGGGAGTGGGGAAGGGTATGAGTCTGCTGGATGCCATGGGTTGAGCAGTAGGAGGAGAGGGTGCGGTTGAGAAACTCACCACCGCCGTCGAAATGGAGGCGGCGGATGGGGCGACCAAAGTGGACTCGGCACTGCTCGGCCCAGGTAACGATGACAGCAGGGGCCTCGGCCTTCGTGTGGAGAAGGAATACCGAGGAGTACCTGCTGTGGTCGTCGACTAGGACAAGCATGTACCGGTGCCCTTTGCTGGAAGGGGAAGGATTAGGGCCTCAGAGGTCCATGTGGACGAGGTAAAGGGGGGCAGCAGCAAAGGAAGGATGACTGAGGTGAGGTTGTTGTTTGAGCTTTCCATGAATGCATGTGGTGCATGGGGGAGCGGAAGAGGACGGGAGGGGAGGAAGAGTGGGGGGAAGACCGTCAAGCAAGCGGGAGGAGACGGCTTTACGAAGTGTGGAAAAGTTCATATGACCAAGGCGATGGTGGATGAGAACAGCAGGGTGGGACAGTGCGCGACAAGAGCATGGGGGGGAGGTGGAGTTGGAGGAAGGTGGCTCTAGAGGGAGGGGATGGGGGAGAGTGGAGGTGCCTGCACGAGTGGTCACGTGGCATGAGGAGGGGCGGGGTGTGCTGAGGATGTATTGACGAGAGCGAGGGCAAAGTGGGAGGCGATGAAGGAGGCGACGAGTGGGGCCATGGAGGAGGTCACAGTAGGGGGCAGAGGCGGGGAAGAGGGTAATTGTGAGAGTACGACCCCGTTACACCACTTGTCCCTTTTCCTATTTCCTTTTCCTTCCATTTCTCTTTTTACCGCATCTCATTTGGTTTCCTATTCTTCCTTTGGTTTATCCTGCTATTATAATTATATCACCGACCAGGCTTGAGATGTACTGGTGCGCTCTATCTAGCGTAATCCTGCTGTAATCCCTTAAAGCCAATAGCCTCGCGTGGCTATACGCAGGGTGATTCTATCTTCTAGAAGGGTCTATTCCCTTAGGATAAGATAAACCTGGTTACTTTGGAAGTATAAAAGCGCCTTGTACTGATCGATAGTGCAACCTTTCCTCGACACATTCGATCCTGTGACAGTAATGATGCCAGCCTGTTGGAGTTCACGGATGGAGAGCAGGTTATGGCGAAGGGAGGGAATGTGGAGACCAATGACCACTCCGGAGGGGAAGGGGGGGCAGGGTAGGGTGGAGAGATGAGTGCAAGGGACAGAGAAGCTGGAATCAGTGCCATGAACGTTGGTGGGGAAAGGGAGGAAGGTGAGGGTGCCGGCGTCTTTGAGGGCAGTTTCAGTGGCACCACTATTGAGAAAAAAGTCTATCATGAGTGAGAAGGGAGCTGAAGACATGGGGTACTAGAAATCATTGGCATTAAAAACAGAGGGATACATGGAAGTGGAAGCAGGGGAAGAATGCATGAGCTCGCATAGAAAGTTGGAGTGGGAGGTGGGAGTAAAACCCAGACGTGCATGTACCTGGGTCACAACTCAGACTCCCCGGACTAGTTATTTCTCAACCCCATCACCAGACATCTGATTTCCAGCCGTGATGTCGTCTTCGATGAGACAGGACCCTTCCAGACTACGACCACAGGCGAGCCTCCTCCACCTCCCCCGACGCTTGTATGGGCAGACTTCGATGCCCCACCTCCGGTCGCTCCCCCTTCTCCAGGGCCTTCTCCGTTTGGTGTGACTCACCCGGCCTCCCCGGTATCCTTCGCAGTGGCACCTCCTCCTGCTCCGCCTTCCCTGCACGTCGAGCCCGGCTCACCAGTCTCCTACCAGAGGTGCCTAGTCCCTCTGGTCCCACCGTAGCCGCCTTCGTCTCAGGTCTCTAGTCGCACTCGTTCCAAGGGACCGGCTCCGCCTCTCGCCTGGGGACCAGCCGCCTTCTCCATCTGGTGTTCGGTCACCCCACCTCCTCTTGCCGGGGGTGATGTCCCCTCCATCCATATTCCACCCCGTGCACTTCTGGAGGACAGGCATGAGGAGCTGTTTGACCTTTACGCGGTCTGCCAATTTCTCTCTCACATCTTCCCGGACATTTCTGACTGCCCTTCCCTCAACTTTACCGCGGAACTGACCATTCCGACTCCTCGCACAAAAGAGGAAGCTCTCTTGGGGCCTTATAAGAAGGAGTGGAAGGCAGCAATGGATGTGGAGAACGATGCGTTCATTCGCAACAACAGCTTTGACGATGTCGTTCCCCATTCCGGTGTTAACATCGTCGGCGGAAAATGGATCTTCCGAGTCAAACAACTCCCAGGCGAAGCTCCACTGTTCAAGGCACGATACGTGGCGAAGGGTTTTACCGAGAAGGAGTATCTCGACTTCTTCGAAACATTCTCGCCCATGGCCAAGCTCCCGACTGTGCGCGCTCTTCTTGATATAGCCGCTAGCGGCAACTTCGAGATCAAGTCCATGGAAGCCTCCTCCGCCAATCTCCAAGGCCAGCTCAAGGAGGATATTCACATGGAACGCCCACAGGGGTTTCCTGGCACTTACCCTGCCAAATTCAGTGTGGAAGGTGAAGCGCCCAGTGTATGGCCTCAAGGAGGCTCCTCAAGGTGAAGGAAGTCAATGATCCACTCGACCACAGTGTCAAGGGAGGTGCGGGGCTGAGCCTCAGTGAAGGCGATGCAGCGCATTTCACACTGAGGGGAGAGGCCTTCGAGGAGACGGTAGATCTGGAAGTTGGAGGGGAGTGTAGTCTGGCGAGCCTCTAGGCGGGAGGCAAAGTCCAGGAGACGGCTGGTGTAGTCAATGGCGCCAGCACTATTTTCGATCGTGATGCTGAAGTATTCCTTGAAGAGCGGTCCGACAGCGTCGAAGTTGGTGCGTTCGAACATCGCCTCAAGCTCGAGCCAAATCTGGCGGGAGCCGATGCGACATTCCTGGAAGTTGCGTATCAGCGCAGACAGGATGGCAAGGAGAAGGGCACGAGTAGCACGGCTATCCGCCTCGAGCCAAGCGCAACGTTCTCGGCAAATCGCGCAGAGTCAGCGGCATAAGCGGCGGCGGTAGCGGCATGCTGGTTGCGGAGGGTGGCCGACTGCTCATGTTCCTCCAAAGCGATCAGGTAATCAGTATGGAACATGAGGAACTCATGATGCTGAGTAACGAAGAGATGCTCAACTTCAGCGGTGGCAGCGCGAGTGCTGGTGCCAACGGGTACCATGGGGGGCAGAGGTTCCTCGCGAGGATGGGGAATGAGAAGGGGGGGGATCGCCAGGGTGAGGCGGCGGGTCCCCAAGGTCACCCTCTGGGAGACCAAGCATGATGTCCAAGAGGCGGAACGGCAGGACATATGCACTGCCGAGGACGCGGTGGAGGCTGCCGACGAAGGAATA